AACAATTCAGCATCAATCTTCAAAGTGCGGCCAGTGCAGTTGTTTTTTCCCACGAACGTCTAAGAGTCGAAGCTCTAAGTTCACTTTGCCAAATGTGCACTCACACATGGCACACATGCCAAGACCTCCAAACGGTCTTAAGCTAATCCCTCAATAAAAGCCTGGAATCACATTTGGATTCCCTGTTGGCCACCCAAAATAGCTGCTCTCTCGTGAGAAACGTTCCAAGCAGCATGTGCGTTCTGTAAAAGTACCTTCTTCTCAGCTGAATCCTTGTGGGTCTCCATAAATTTGCGAACCTTGAAGGGGTGCTGACAAACATATGTTTTCCAAACCTGTTTGTGTCTATTTTTGTTTCACTTCAGTTGAATGCAAACCAAAAAACAAAGTCCCAACGAGCGTTGTGCATCACACTCTTCGCTTTGGGTGCTGCTGCGGGTGCTGCGGGCGCTGCGGGAGCTTCCCACGTTTCCGGACCCTGATCAGATCCACGAGGTACCTTGAACATATTTCATATCTTCCCATGGACAGAACAGGAATAAATATATATAAAATAACATAAAATCATAAAATGGCAAAACATAAAAAACATCAAATGATGCACCAAGATACTCCCTTGGACACAAATTTTTTTGTGCCACTCCCGAGAGTTCACTCGTCGAATTTCCCTCCTCTCATCCTCAATCTTTTGTTTGGTTGCTGGCGACATGTCTGGTGTAATACGCATTGCCTTGCGCTTCACACCACCATTGTCAACATTAGCATTGTCCTGAGTTTGTGGGTGAGACAGATTATTCCAAACAATGCTTAATAGAACTTGCAAACATCTTGGATCAATTCCTAAAGCCAGGACCTTTACAAACAATAACGAAACAACACCTGAAACAACAAGTATAGCATCATCATTCATAGCCACAGGAGGCACAGGACGGCGTGGAGCCCGTTTGGCCAAAGGAATGGATGCCTCCCCAGGAAATGGCAAACAGTTGGTACTAGTTACTAGAATATAGAAAACAAAACACATTTTTCACACTGCCCCACCACTTCAGCAGCGATGGTATTCTTCTCAGGATCACTGTGTTCCAACTCGTTCAAGGAATCGTTCACTCCCATATCACCTTGGCTTTGATGATCCCTCGTCTCCAGAATGCCATCACTCTGATCATGTTCCTTGTCCATGAAAGAGTCCTTGAGACAATATTTTGGTGTTTCGATAACACCTCAATTGTTTCTACAACTTATCACCATTTACAAAGACAATGGACTTCAACATTTTGGTACAACCCAGCCTCCAACCTTGGATCTGACTTCAAAGTGACCGCAGTTCCCATGCTTGGTGACGCAGTCGACCCGTCGGACAATGTGTTTCCGCTCGGTTTCTTTGCCATTGGTTCCTCAACTGCCTTGTCCTCGAAACTGTCATAAGACCCTGGCCCGAAGATGTCAGGCTGTGAGTCTGGCTCAAAGGTGCCAGAGAGAGCCCTGAAGAAATGTTCATCCTCTGGAGTCCAGCCTTTTTTCAAAGTACTCATATGGTTGCCGTGCAGCCGATTCTCCATCATCAGAGCACTCCATAGGGAACAATCGCCTTCTGGTTGTCAAAGGTCGAGCCACTTCTTCCACTGGCACAACCTCAAATGGAAAAACACTATTTTGAAAATTGTTTTAAAGAATTCTCCCTAGAATTTTGACAAAAATCAGTAAAAACGTGTTCAGTCTTGGTTGGTGGCAGGAACAGGCTGAGCACGCAGCATGCACTTCTCCACCGAAGAGCTTGCCCTGAACATAGGTGCTGCTACAACATCCTTGCCCATGATCAATGAACTCATCGTTGCAGACCTGACAAATGATTCTTCCTTTGGTGCTGATGCCATACTTTCACTGGAAGGGCATGCTGCCACTGCAACATCTGGACCACATCCCAAGTGCTTCTGCATTAGCGAAGCATCAGCCACCTCACGGCCTACAATCTCATCCGACATGGCTTGAAATTTTCTAGTAAGGAAGTACTGAGCTTTGGGCAAGAAAGGAACTAGTAGGAACAATAGTGTGAAGCGTTGTAAGAACACATCTCCAAACACAATATTGTGAACACATCAGGAGTCATCTTGTGAAACGGATGCAACAGCGTGTCTTTTCCCCAATTCCAGAGCATTGTTGGAAAAGTTCCTCTTGTAGTGCTACATCAGACGATCTGGTAGCGCACGTCCTTCTCAAGTGTGAATCCAGTGCCCTTCAAATACCAGAGCGGCTTAGCTGGTCCAAGAACCTTCTCACGAGAATAGTGGCGGACTCCTCAATTGTTCCAGTCATGAAGATGCCAACATACTCAATGGAGAGAGTGACAACCATTATAAACAAAAAACAAACAAACCATGCTAAGTGGCTCCATACAAGCACTAGTTGCCTCGAAGCAAGCAAACTCTTGAATCCGAGGACGCCAGCCATGTTCGTTTGCTTCATTGTCTTCAGTGCCACATTGGTTGGCTTGAAGACACTGTAGGACTCATGTGTCACCTCAATGCGATCCATGGATTCTCCTCTCTTCACGTCGCTTGGCCGATCCACTCGGTGGCCCGTCACCTTCAAATCAAGCACCCCCCCTCTTTTCCAATGATACCAAAAGGTCAAACAATGTGGTTGGACTGGAGTCCACATTGCCCGAAGAAGTCTGTTCTTCCATCATTACCTTGAATCGAAGGCTTGGCTCACAACAAAGAGTGAGACTAACAACCAAAACGGAGACAAGGTCACAAAGAGTATATATAATATAGTTTTCAAAACAAAAATGATATTACTCTATCTTGAGAACTGGAGCATCCCCAGACTCAAGTCGAAATTCAATCGCCTTGTTCTCATTCTTCTCGAGGTAGTCCTTCGCCTGTCATTGTATGAGATCATGCCATGTCAGTATTGAATGGTTGTATAATGTATATATAATTTTGGCTGGTTGGACGGTTGGTTCAAACTATTCATGAGCCTTGGAGCTCTCTCCAATTCATTGTCCCCCAGCGTAGAGAAACAAAGGAGTTGGACTGGATGAAGCCACACCAGGTGCACGAGTCTTTGTAGCACTGCTGAGAAACACTTTGCCATCGACATATTGGCACAAGATGTTTTGCCCTGAGACTGACAAAGTGATGGTTGCCCCAATGTCTGGGTACTTCTTTTCAAACTCCTCTTTGGTGAGCGAAGGTGGTGGGTCACACTCCACATGGAGGCTGCTCTTGGCGGCTGTGGTGGCTGTAGCTCCCTCCTTTGCAAGGTCTACCTCTGCATCTGCTTGTGTTGGTACTCTTTCACTATCGGTGGAACTGGATGGGCGAAACACTTCATCAAAGTTCTTGAGGCGCACTCGCCAATCCGGGTCTTGGTGTGGTATGTGGATGGTTGAGGAACATAGTGACATAGTATGGTTTACCAGCAAAAAGAAAAATACACCACCTGAACCACAACTTACAAAATTACATAACATGGAAGACAAAGTCGCTTCTCACAGGGTCTGAAAGCCACTTTTCTCGTTCCGCCTTTGGGATGCTGAGTTGACCGTTTGAATCCATAGTGCAAAGGCGAAGACTTGGAACTTGGGGCAAATTGAGGTCTGCAGTGCATGCTTCAGCAACAAACTTCGGCTGCATCTGTCCAATCAAACCGGTTCCACGCTTCCACTCCTGTGTAAAAATTACATGGGAGCCAAAAAAACTGTTTAACAGGTGTTCGACAAACTCGGACCTCCAGCAACTTGTCTTTCACCGTCGTGACCGCAAACTCAAAGACTGTCGGATTGGTGCATTCGCTGTAGAAGGCCATATAGGCCAAGTCACTCAAATCCAGCATCAAGTCGAGGACCACCTTCTGTGCAAGTGGATTGCAGATCAAACCATGTTGTTGTTTTGGTCCCACCCCCCACCTTTTCGAGCACCCCGTCATAGCAAGCGAAGTTATGCACAATGCACGTTTGGTACTTCATAGTGCTTATTTTTGTGAGGCAGGCTTCAATCACATTCTTGAAGGTTCCAGGTGCTGCGACCCATTGTGCTGTCTCTTCCTTGTCCTGGGAAAGAACAGAATACCCAACAAGATAATAAAAGGTTTTAACGTTTTTTAGGGAAGAGATCAAGAAAGATCCAGAAACACTGACAGTTAATACATTCAAATCAAGTTTCAGTAGGGCTTCTTCCATGCTCATGTGTGAATAAAGTTCCGCTTTCTGGCGTGACATACTCACCTAAGTGAGGGACACCTGTTCCAACATCCAAAATATATGGTCACACTATCAACAAAAAGATTCAAGGGACACAATGTAATACAGTATTTTATGAATGAAGATGAGTTGCTGGGCTGCAGTGGGAAGGAGGGGTTGCAAATGAGGGTGCTCCAGAAGTCATTCTTGCAAAAGCTGTTGCTGTCTGCCAATGGTCTTTCGCTACCTCTGGGAGCTTTGAACAGCGTTTGCTTTGCTCCCAACGTGGTGTCCAAAAGGATCATCCATCCCGGTAGGCATGCTGGAAAGGACCTGGAGTCCAGACAAATATAACAGATATATCTATATTAAATCTGTATATAATCAAAGAAATACCCAACCATCAAATGACCAAAGCTGAAACCAACCCAGTCCTGTTCCCATGTAGATTGGTCAAGTCGAAAGGAATTTGAACCAGCTTCATTTCCATGCCGTGATCCACAAACTTATCCTCGATTCTTCTGAACTCCCCACGCAAACCACCAAGCACACCATCGGAGGCCAAGATAGGGCAGATGGCGAGGGTCATGCCTGCTGTTGTCATTCATATGGGATTGTGGGTGGGGTTGCCTAAAGAATGTCAAAGAACTCCAAAAATTGTCATTGAGCCAAAAAACCAAACTTTGTTTGCAAGTTGCTGTGCTCAGCGTTCAAATTGAGCAGTGCCTTTGCCCAATCAGCAGCCTGATTGATCTCTACCATGCTCAGCCGTCCGAACTTCGTGAAGTCAAGTATGCCGATGTGGTGCATTTTGCCCAGCTCCACCGAGTCGAATTTGCTGCTGGCATCACTGATGATTCGACGTTGAAGAGCTGCCAACGATGATGCTTTGCTTGCCCCACATATCATCAAAGCCCGCTTTTCCATGAACCGGTCAACCACTTGAAGCCCGGTTTCAAGCTGATCTCGTAGGTGCAGTACCTCAAAGTTTCAAAACGGAAATGACACATTTGTGAAAACCACTATAGTATGAATATCAAAAGAAAAAACTTGCCAATAGATCACATAGATGCTTGGGCCACGTGTTTGCTTCCCTGCACCTGACATATCAAACATTCAGGGGAATTTCAATTAAAACTTGTAGTTCAATCATCCCACCTTGTTGCGCCGAAGATTGTACCCCACTGCTTCCTTGTAGTCGTGGCTCAGGTTTGAGCAAGCCAGCCGGTACTCCGCCTCTCTCAATTGCTCCTTTGAAGCAGAGTGAAATTATATTTGATCTGGGAAAAGGGGTTAAAACATAAATTTTGCACAAGCAGATGAAACACACATATATCATAAGATCATATATATATATAATATTACGTATTAAATACCTTTTGATTGTCCCGATTAATGCTCCTCAGCATCTTCAACTGTGGTATCAGCGGCTGACGGTCCATGACATGTCGCTGCCCCCCTGAGCCAAAGCTCGCCCTACATAGTCTTGCCAAATTGCCAGTGTTTCCACTGTCAAGCGCTGAGGTTTGGAAAGCAAGATAGCTTCAAACTCTTGCACATAGTCCCTCAGATGTCTACCAAACCCAAGAACAAATAACCCCAATACTGTGATGTAAACTGAAACCCTTTAACAAAATGAAAATCAACATTTGTTTGTTGGGGTCGGGCATCCCTGCCAAAAAGCCGCTGATCATATCGGAGATCTGATCGTCAATCACCTTTTGCTGAAAGAAAGACATGGCTCCCAGACAAGGTGTAATAACAGGACCCTCTCTCCAATCATGCTAAACATAACCAGGTCTCCTTTGGGTTCTTCCGGGTCTCGGTGATCGCCCACACACATAGACAAGCCATGTCTACATTTCTTGCCCAAACGTCCTCACTCCATCGGAGGCGACTCCTCATATTTTTTTTCATTTTTTTTGCATTCTGTGCCCACCACAGATTGTACCGCCTGAAGTGAAGGATTTGGGCATCTTCCGTCACCTTACAGGACATGTCTCACAACAGTCATCACTACATCTCACTACGGTTAAACAATTTGTGTATACATTGCCACTGGGATACACATATTACCAAAACTTGCTCACCAAACAAAATCAAGTGTCTGTGAGGCGATCAATCCATGAAGAAGGAACATTCTTTGCACCCTGGTGAAGCAAGTGTCGTTTGCTCTTCAAGATCGATTCATTGTATCCTTACATGTTAAAATCACGTGCTTCATCCTACCCCCCCAGGAAAAAAGTATGCGTTTCATTAAAAGCTGCCCTTTTCTTAAACCATTAATGCTTTTCAAACAAGTATACCCATGAATCCCAGTAGCCACTTTCATCATACTTGTTGAAGTCCAAATGCTGCTTTACAAGCAAGCGTGCAGTGGGACACATCCCCCCATATGATTCCTGATATGGCAGACTGCTGGTCCGGAGAGATTTGCCACTTTTTCAGGGCACTGTTTGCCTTGTAGTTGTTGTAGCGCTGGATGATCATTTGAAGAATCTCCTCATCCTTCATTTCCTTGCACTCCTCAAGCTGCCGCCTCTCCTTGATGAGGTCTTCGAACCGTGATGCCATCTTCATAACCTTGATGCAAAAACCCAAACACCCCCACCCCACCCCCACCCCATACACACACACGAAAAAGGTTTTGTCTTCACCTATAGAAACCAAACACTTGGTCAAGTAACGTCTTTTCGCTGACGTTCAGCTCCCTGTGTAGATAACTGGATGGCCTCAAAATTGATCGTTTCAGCATCATTTTTTCCCACTGATGCTGCATGGGATGGCAAGCAAATCTCTGATGGCTGGAAGTAGTGGCAAGGCAAGATCCTGCCAAAGTTGATACAGTAAACTTTAAACATTGAGAAGCTCTTGATTTGGCAACTTCCCCAGGCCTTTCCATTGATTGGATCCAGGTCGCTCACAATCAGGGCAAGAAGCAATGGAGCACTCCTTGGACTCTCTAAAGTCATCATAGCTGTGGAATCTATTGTTTGGTTTTAAAACCATGCCAACAAGAAAACAAAATGTTGTATGTAACGTTTCAAGAAAGAATCAACCTCGTGAAACCTTTCTTGATGATGAACTTTTGCTTTCCATTTGGCCCTCTGACTACATTGACGTCGATGGGTTCACGATGCAGCCTTGATCCGCTAAAGATGTATGATATGCATACTGTGATGAAGTCCCCAATGCATGGTAGTCCTTCTGTAGGACTCTTCACCAACAAATCGTCAATGGGTATGTAGCCGATCAAGTTCTCATCGCCCAAAGAACTGCAATCCTAGCTCAGCTTAGTTCAGCTAGCAGCTAGTGAAGTTAATTGGCCTGATGCATTGGGGTGAAACAAAGAACAACACTTACACACATACCATCCTAGTAACTGGAGCAGTTGCAGCCTCTACCTTTCGACCCAGTACCTGATTCACTTCCTGCAAAAAGTGACGTAGCTTCTCACAGGTAGCAGCTGAAGCCTCTTCGTCTTTGAACTGATCCATGATGCACGACAATGGATGCTGTATCTCTGTATCATTGCCGTCTCCACCATCAGCAAATTGCCCAAGGTAGTCCAGGATGTCCTGGCAGGACGGTAAGAAGTAGTGAGAAGAAGTCATTGAAGAAAAAACTAGTGGACCTAAGCACCACGACACGTGACAAAAGTATTGAATAAATCCATCCTAGACACTTTCACCATAGACACATCACCTGTCATTTTTGATAGTCCAGCTTGCCAGTCACTTTTGCGCTTCTTTGCTGATGGGTCCTAACGTTATTGTGTGTGCAGCATGACACCATGGAAGAAATATGATTTCTAGGTGTACTAGTGTACTAAAAAGAAAATTGTACATAGCTAAAATGGTTCACTGAAAGTGGCAAGGTGCGCTGGACTCTTCCTTTTTTTACAACTTTACTCTCTTCCTTCTTCACTGGTGATCTTCCCGAACTTTTGGCCGCATTAACCATGGCCAGCAGCATGGGTGACTCCATTCTGAAAACAAAACACCCTTGAATTGCTTTGATGTTGTCATTTGTGTTTCTCACAAGACTAAAAACAACAGACAAAAAATTAAGCGGCAAACCTCATCAAGAAAGAGGAGTTGAGCGTTTTCATGGGTGGCCCGTGATCCTCAAAGAATCGTCGTGGGTGGCCCGTGATCCTTCCAAAGTCGTCGTGGGTGGCCCGTGATCCTTACAAAGTCGTCGTGGGTGGCCCGTGATCCTTGCAAAGTCGTCGTGGGTGAGGGTTGGATCACACAAAGTCGTCGTGGCTCAGCTCCTCACCCACAACGAAAATTGTGACATGGCAACTACGCACAAACCATGGGACCCACAACAAAATTTCTAGTCGCTATGTGTCATCCTTTTCGTTGTAGTCCAGGTGCTGGACCACAAAGACTTTTTTGTAGAATTTATATACCCACAACAATTCTGCACTTTTCAGAAAACTTTGATTTCGTTGTGGGTATATAAACTGCTTACTAAGTCGTTGTAGTCCACCCCCCCGGACTACAACGAAATTTCTAGTCGCTATGTGTCATGGTTTTCGTTGTGGGTGCCATCCTTTAGTCGCATTTCTCAGACTTTTCCTCCATAGTTGCGTCAGCTGATGCTCCTGTGCTGCACAGCTGGTAAGGCTGGTAGGCTGCCCTCACCACTCTCGGTGTCATGACCTCAGGTGTGTGCCAACTCTCTTTGGAATCGTAGGTACTTTGGCATGTGTGTATATGGCACTTTGGCATATTACACTCTTGGGAAGACTCTTGGGTGCATAAAGGGAAGGATGCAAAGCCATTGAATGTTTTGGCCAATGCTGTCATCTAGCCATTGGGGGTGCACTCACACGATCTGCTTTGCAGAAAACCGCTCATCTATCTGCTTTGCAGATTAAGGCCCCAAGTCAGCGTCAACGGCTGGAAGTGGGTAGTGAACAAAGAATGTTGTCAAAGTTGGCCTCACCGACCACGTCTCCACACGGCACGCAGAGGTATGCTTGGACACAGCACTGCTAGCACACAAGGATGCAATTCTGCATGTTCACCAGGCATAACTGCAAGGGGAGCTTCCCCTTCAAGCCAAGGCAATGGAAACAACTCATGCTGGGGAAGCCGATTGTCCGCTAGTGCTGTCAAATAGTCAGCTGCTTGCACACAAAGATCAGTGCCACCCAGCATTCTTCGGAAGATGGCAGCCAACTCTCGCCAGCCCCCCGAGCACCTTGTCTGAAACAGGTCGAGGTGGCATCTCACCTGGGGCATGTCATTCCTCTCAAAAAGTATTGTTATGATCATGTGTTCAGTTAAGAGGCTAGTTAAGGGTGAATTGTCATGCAAGACTTTGATATTATATCATAGATATTCTTACTATGTACAAATTTATATATATATATAAATATGCATAACTTATATAGTGTGATCTTTGACCACCAAAAACAAAACTAAATACTAAATTTGGTTTGTCACTGGATGTAGTGAGTGGAAAGGTCGCTCTGCTCTCAGATGTTAGAACAAGCATTGGAGGCTGTGCGAGCTGAACACTGCAAATGTATTGCTTCACCACAACAAAGATGTCATCCGGCATCTTCTCTCGGTTTCTCCGGCTGCCCTCATTGAGGTCCATTCCAATTGGAAGATCTAGCACAGGTTGCCAACACACAGAAAACAAGGCAGAACTACCCTCTTCACCCCCTCTGCCCCTGCTTTCAAACCCTGCCTGTCCGCTTGAGAAACAGGAAGAAGTGGTTTGCTGTAGCGTCAAGCAGCAGCCCACCTTCCTATCTGTGCTTGAAAACAAAAGCTTCAAAACAAATCGGGTTGTCAAACACGTGCAGAACATTCATCGCTAAAATTTGTTGAAGCTAAAGTCAAGGCTCCAAGTTCACAGGTGAGTGCTGCAACGAGTGAGCTTTCCAATTCCTGTGATTGCGTAAGGTGTGAACTTTGACACTGCCGTTAACAAAGTCCTTCAGCCCTGGTTTCAACAACTCCTCTTTGATCAGCTCACACGCCGAATCCGTGTCAATGAGCTTTGATGAGTTCCCCAAGCGTCGACTGAGCAACCCCCCACAACTGGTCTCAGTGGGAACATGCAGTCTTGAACACCATTCAAAGTCTAGATTAACAATTTGGAACCAATTTCCAAACACCAAAGACCAACTCCAAAGATCTCCAAAGTCTTTTTTTCCCTCACACATATCCAAGACACCTATGATGTCATGGGTGTGGGCCACCCGCAACATCATCAATGAGACAAAC